CCAAGGCTTCCTTCACCTGGAAGGTGGCTTTTGCTAAAGAGAGGCAAAAACGAGGCTGAGCTGGCAAGGGCGACCCGGGGGGATCAACTCGGAAGAATGAAGTCCTTCGGTGTTTTGATTGTCTGAGACTGTCTGATATACACACTTGTGTCTCTCAAGTGCAAAAAACCAACGGACAAGTGCAGGCGCAGTAGGCACTCTTGCATGTTGGTTGAGTTTCTCCTGAGTCGAATCCAAGTGCCAAAATGAAGCAGAACTGGGATGGCACCCAGAACGCCACCGCCAGCACAGCCCTGCGTGAGACACAGTGAGAACTTGGACACCTGGCACCCTCAAACGGGTCCATGGGTGTCGCGATGAGAAAAGAGAACTACTAGGGTAGATCTACCCCCACGCAGCGCAGGAGAGGCTTCAGGGCCACAGGCGCCTGTCCTCCCGTCCCATTGCCCGCAAGCAGCAAGGTCCCAACATCTCCAGCGCAGGTATGTTAGCTCCCGAATTGGCCTTTAAAAAACCACCCCCCTTCCTTGCGTGGTTGAGGTCTTACCTTTTGCGGGCGGCAGGACTGCCATAATTAAGTCCAGTTGGCTCCTCGCCATCGGACGTTTGCACGCGTCCAGGAGGGCCTACAGCCCGCGGGGGGGCACTCATTTTCAGAGCCCAGGCGTCTGATAGCGTCTGCATGAGGGAGCCAGCAATCGCGCCCAATGGCGTTGGAGGTTGGCTTCACCAAGGTCTCCCCCTCCACGGTGAGCCCGGCTCCCTTCACTTGCGCGTCCAATGGCGGTTGAGGGGGGCCGGGCAGAACTTGGTCCAGCCGGCCAAGCCGGGTCTCTAATCTCAATGTGCTCCATGCCCCTGGGTGATTTGGTGGTACCTGAACCCATCCCACCAGCTCGCTGACCGTCAGTTGGGCCTCAGGAAGATGTATTGGTAGGCACGGATCAGCCTGCGGTCTTGGCATTTGCCCCAAATGACTAAGTCACTACCCGTCACTATACACTATAGATGTTTCCATTGGAGTTTCAGCCGCCGGGACATCCAGGTGCCGGGGCTGCACTCCTCTTGCGTTGCCGAAGGGGTGGCTCGGCAGGTGGAGAGGTAGTGGGCCGTATAAGACGACATAGAATCCCCCACTGTCAGGCTTCGAAGGCCACATTTCCTGCACAGGAGCGGGTGCATCTACGCGCAAAGCAGCCATGGCCCGACTCAACTCCGCCAACTCCTCCTCAATGGAAGACGTCCGCGGATGTCAAGGACTCGGTGTCATCTGCCAGGGCATCGTCAACCCGGCCCGCAGTCTCGATGACCGCTTCTTCAACCAGCAAGATATCCTCGTCTCTGGTTTCCGCTTCCGAAGGTTCGAGGGTGAAGGAGGTCACCGTCTCAGCGCCGTCCAACACTGACCAGTCAAAGAACTCCCCAGTTTTGCCAGTTCCAGCCATAGCGATCAAAAAGGAGAGTAGGAGAGCGGACGTGAGCAAGTTTTTCACTTGAATCAAGGTTGAGCCAAAATGGCAAGGCATTTTGGCTAATGAAATGTATTAAAGGAACATAACCTGCTTTCCTCAGGCTCCAAGCACGTCTAAAAAATACTGTCGCCGCAAAACACTGGGGAATACCACAAGGCTTGTTTGCACGAATGATGTCTAAGTTCTTGCGCACGTATGCGGCGGTGAAGAGTGAACACACCCCACCTGGGATGGCATCTCTCCACCCAGTGTGGGACTGCCAATGCAAAAGCCATCTGCGGCCTGTAAAGCCTTGGAGACATCATCAGCAGTGCAGTGCTCCAAATTCATCTCGACCACCTGGTCCAGTTGACATCATGTCAGGGTGCCAACCCTTTCTGCCCCAAGTCTTGATGAAAAGTGTGCTTTTTGATTTCCGACCCTTTGTTTCATCCAAAAAGGCTCAGTATCGTGTTCACGGAAAAGGCTGGTCGTTTCCATCCACAGCTAGGGAAACCAGGCAAAGCAGCGCAGCACAATCTCACAATCTCGCCCACCTTGACACCCGACTGCGTGAGCCCTTTCGAGATGCTTTTGGCCAAGGTCTTTGTATGACCATAGGCACTAGCATACATGACCAACACTTGAAAGTCTCGACGAGTCTCTTTTCGCAACTTCTGCTCGGTCCAGGCTTCGTACCTACGCCGTTGGGGTTGGGGGAACTCCCTGTAGCTCCGAAGTAGCTCTCCTTACAGTTCCCTGAAGGAGTATGGATAGCTGGGGGTAGCTCTCTCCGCTAGCAGCCAGAATCTCTTGTTCCACCCACCTGCATTTCACCACCATACTCTCCAGTATGTACCTAGAGTGTTCTATATTCGGGTCAATGTGGTTCTTGGAACAATCCTTAGGTGAAACTCTTTAAATCTGGATTCGGTCTGGGAACATGGTGTTTACATGTATCGTCAGTTTTCTTGCTTCCTGAACCAAGGTACCTGTCAAAAACGAGCTGTTTCCACTCGGCTTTGTCATTAAATAGTTCTATGGTATTAGTGGAAAATGACCAGACACCAGACACCGCACTACCATGCTTTCCCTTCGGTGGAAGGCCGCACTTTGCCAATGGACTTTCACTTGAGCTAGAAGTCTCTAAAGCTAAATACAATGCACAAAGAACTGCAAAAGCTAGGCCTTTTCTTCAGGTAGAACCATGCACACTTCATCCAACCCATCATCCAGCCCCTCATCCAGCCCCACCCATCATCCCAGCCACTTGGCCATGAGCTTCCAGCATTGCTCCCGCACCACCGGCCCATGCAGCGGGGCCAGCTGCATCACGTCTGGCCCTTTGAGCGCCTCGCAAAGCATGAAAATCTTCCTGACCGAAGAGGCTGCTGACTTCGTGAAGAAGTAGCAATCGAACAAGTGATACCAATCCTGCCGGGGGGGTGGCATCGACGCCCCCATCAGGGGGCGTCCATGATGAAGGCCGATAAAGAGATGATCTGGAGCAATCAATTTTTCACAAGTGTTCTGGGAAACGGAATTTGCCATAGTAGAGAATATCATCTCAGTAGTGATGACGCGCCAATCTGTCATAAAAGTAAATAATAAAACAAAACTGATCTTGAACACCCGTTCTCGGTCCACCGGGTCCTAACACCCGTCCTCCACATAAGCCTCCCATCCTTCGATCCCTGGGCTGTCCACCGGGCTATCCTTCTCACCAATCTCCTTGTGAGCGCTAAAAAATTTTCCAGTGAAGAGGCTCCCGGTGAATGGATCGAAGGCTGACAGTGCTTCTGGGAGCTTATTGGTCGGTGTCAGCACAAAGCGCATCACACGTCCCTTCTCAATCTCCAGCCTCATTGGTCGAGGTCACGAAGTGCGTTTCACACCTTTTTGTTGAGAAAACAAAGGCTTTTGGATCTGTGGATCTTGGAGGAGCCGATCCCGCGATTCTTCGATCGTCCAAACACACGATGAAGCGAGGATCAAAAAAACGAGCTGTGCATCCAAGCACCTGGAGGTGTTCTTGATGGGCACGAAGCTGACTTTCTGCAGGGACGCCTCTGACAAGTTCTTTTTAAGCGCCAGAACTGCAGGCATTGACGTGTAGATCAGAAGGGAATCACCAGACCGTTTCTCCACCAACGCCTCAATGAAAGGAACCTATCGGGTCAACAGCTTTCAGCGTGTCATCTGACATCTGTGGGCATGGTTCAACATGAACACCCTTCACAATTCCCCCCTTTTGACAAGATGGCCAACACCATGGACCTATTCAAAACGGGGCAGCGTTCCAAAACGGCCATGGCTGCACCGCCCAACTCTTTTGAAGTCTTTGGAATCGCCCGTTGGACGGCACCTGTCCGCCATCAAAGAACTGGAGCATCAGTACGCCGATCCGGTCCGCCAGTCCACTTTCTTGGGCCAACATCTCCGACATGAGCCCTCGGGTACTGTCCTCACTGAAGGCACCAATCAGCACCCAAGGATTCTCCGATGCCTTGATGAGATACAGGTTCTCAGTGCTGCCCTCGGCCAAATCGAACTCTTCTCCATAGCGATTGCCGCCCTTGGCATGGACGCTCCTGCCAGGAGCGCTGAGGAGCGCCTCCTCAAGAAGAACCTCCAACTTCGGGGGCCCTCCAAATAGGGTTCTTCCAAAGGCATTTCGGGGAGCCTATAGCTAAGTCATAGCTAAGTCCACTTAGCTAAGATCGGTAGCCCCACATGCCAACCTCTCTGTCCTGAACTGAGTGATATCTCCTGGCAACTCTGAGACCACTAACTTCACCTCGCCTGCTTCCACCAGCCCATCGGCCCAGTCCCCGATCACTCGGGTGGTCTCCGCCGTGTAGCGCCGCGCCGTCGACGGCGCGGTCGACCGCGGGGCACGGCGCGTGGCACGCGTGGCACGAGCGGCACAGCCCGCGAGCAAGCCCAGGCCGAGACCCAATGAAACTGGCTTCACGGAAGTCGAGCTTGGGAGATTTGCTCGTGGGAGGTTTTCATGATGACGCTTGGTCTCAGGGTGGCCTTCGACTTGGACAACCCAAGGCCGCACAGTCTCCATCGCTAAGAAAGAAGCAAAAGTCTTGAAAAGCGGCAGTTGGGGTGTTGATATGTCATGTATGATTGCATGAGATTACCATGGAGTTACAGAGTTGCGCTCATCCACACAGCCTCTGCTTCAGTGATCTCAACTCTTTGGTCTTAATCTTCCAGCCAAATTGGATTGGCAGGGTCGACTGGGAGCTGTCATGCGTGGCAAAACCAGTAAAATGGATCCTTCACATTCAGTGCTACAAGTCTCCTGCTATCTCAGCAAAATCTTGATGCACCTTTCTCTCCAAAAGCTTCTTGTATCAAAGGAGTGGTCATCTGAAACAAAAAAACAGAAATGGGCGTCCCCTTCAAAACTCCATTCGTGGCGTGAAAAGAATCAGGGCGCACATGGAACAGCAAGCTGCCCCATCTTGGCCGAACCAACAGGAGAGTCAATTTCAAACGGGCAACACGGCGTCCGTCCTGAGTAACCTATGGATTTGTTCACTTGGATAAGCATTTCAGGTTTTCAGGTGGTGGCAGCAGCATGTCTAAATAGCATTGTCCCAATATGACAGCATTTCCCGCACCTGCGCTGCAGGATCATTTTCTCATGGCCGGAAAACCAAACGTCTTCGACCAAGTGAATGTGTGCAAGTGCATGTCCGAGGCGTGCTCCTTCGTGGTTTTTTGTGAAACGACATATCTATCAAAATGGTGTTGCATGCGTCAACCCAAGATTGGTGACTGGTGTGATGGCATGGGAGTCCTTGAGTCCTTGAACCAAATTCCAACATTAATTACGTTTTACATGTGCTCCTTACACAACCTGGCACCCATCCGTTTGTGCTCCTTACACAACCTGCGGCTCCTCACTCCGATGAAGTCCTGAGATCTGCCGTGAGTCGCCCAACAACCACAATAATGTAGACTCTTGAGGTACATAAACCCCCCACACACACCCCACACACAAAGAGGTTGTTCAATCCAAATGGGGAAGGTGCAATATAATCAAGAGTCTACGATGTTGCTTCCTTGCAACATGAAAATCTGTCCGACACATCCTTCTCTCTCCACAGTGGAAAATTCCACACTCGACATGCTACGGAGATTGTTTCGGTTTGGTCGTCCCCCCCGTCTGTGGTCTTTTTTTGGACACCAACCGTGTGAACTTTGACACCAACGGTGTGAAACGTCTCGCTTCCTTTCAGAGGTGTTCAAAGAACCTCAGCCAATCAGCTTCTGTCGGACTGAAGTCAATGGCCCAATCACACCAGGCATCTTCGGTTATTCTGTCAGTCGCGGTATGGACAGCTTCCAACACAGGCCAGAGAGCCTATCACCATGAAAAAATGGCCGCTCTTGAGCAGATCATGATCTCCCTATCGACCAAGGTCTGGAGATGAGAGACGTCCGAGCATTGGGAAACGAAACGCCTCTCTTTTTCAATTGAGACAACCACATCACCCCACATCATCCACATCACCCCACATCTCCGGCCTTGGAGAAAGCGTCAGTAGATGATCTTGGCTGAGAGCTTCAGCTCGGAGGAAGGGGAGACCTCGGGGACCCATCGAGCTTTCTAGCACGACCCAGAAATGAGAAGACCCAGAAAGCGGGAGGATAAATTTTTCACCTGAGGTTTATGTTGAAAATGACTTCAAAGTAGAACAGCTGTACATGTGGGGATCCACTGTAGCGCATCTCATCCACACACGTTCCGGTCGCGGGTGGGCGCGCGCGCGCGTGCGCGTGCGCTGGTGCACTGAGCTGATCCCAACCGGCTTGGACATCTCCCTTGCATCGTCCAAGTCTTCCAGGAGACCTCACGGATTGCGAAACGGTATGACCTTCCGTGTGACCTGAAAGAACGCTGATGACGCCGGTGACTTGCGATGCGTGAAGAACGCCGCTGAAAGGATGAAGATGGATGGGTGTGTTTGCCACTTTGGCGTGAATTGGCATGCAAAACCGGCAAAAACAGAGACGCGACGCGTCCTAGCTAAGTGGTTTGAAAAGCTTGATACCCATGTCAATATTAACAACTGATACCTTGTTTCTCTTCTCTGTCCCAGCCAGCCAAATGCTCAGCACACCCGCAGCCTGAAAGTTTCATCCGTTGCTCTTGGATGGTGGGCGTGCTGCTACCTGCTGGCCAGGGCGTAATGCCTGGAGCTAGGTGCGTAGCTTCTTGTTACTAGTAGTGAGGTGCCTTGCTCCTAGTAGCTATTTGCTACTAGTTTGTGTTGGTGCCTTGTTGCTAGTAGCTTCTTGTCAGTAGTAGGGGAGAATCCGAAATATCTGGATGCCGCCGGGCGAGACTTTGGTTCTACTTCATCGGGAGAAAGTGAAGATCAGGCTTCGTCGTCCATGGGTGTTTTCTCAGTGACGATGGCAGGACTGCTCTTTTGCACAACTTTCTACGAATCAGCACCATCAATCACTCACAACTCACCATGATCGGTTCTCTGCAGGTTTTTTTGCCTCCATCTCTTGCAAGCCACTGGAATGTCCGATCTATTCCTCACGTTCCAAGGCGCGGGGCCGAAGAATCGATCCAAAAGGTGTTGAACCCACCGGGCCTTTCCCGAAGCGGGCGAGTTATCCGACCCGTCGGACCACCCACCGACCCGGTCGCGCCTTTCTTGGGCCCATCCACTGCCTGGGAGCTGTTCTCGGCACCGCGCATCATCTGGAAGAACTCCTCAAAGTCGATCTTGCCATCCTCGGTCCGATCCGAAGCGCTCAGATGGTTCCTCTCCGGCCCGTGGTTCGAAGGGGCGCACCCGCACTCGCGCGCGCGCGAGTACACACACGGGCGAAGAAGTCGAGTTTGTAGCACGGCGCCGTGGTTCGAAGTGTGACCGCTCACAGAAGATCCGTTACATGGGCCCCCTTGTTTCGAAACAGTTTCCGGTGGCTTGATACACTGGCCACTTGATTTTCTACACGCCGAACAAAAGCACGAGTCCTCAGGCGTAAGGCAGAAGAACGGGGCACGGACCTCATTGGGCATCCCCACGTGGTTTTGATCCACCTGCTCGAAGATGGCATAAACGTTGCTGATAGCAGAGCCTCACTGCTTGAGCTGGCACCAGTGGACGCGCAAGCGCGCCCTTGATCTTTTGGGTCTCTGAAGAGGCCGCTACGAATATCTGCGGACGTTGGACTCGTTTCTTTTTAAAGTGAAGACTCGTTGGACTGATGATGCTTTGGATGGTTCACTCAACCATCTGCCTCGTTCAGGAGTAGAACTACAGTATTCATCTCCAACTTTTGGGAGACTATCAACCCTGTCCACACCAAGTGCACACCACCCGTTCACCCGTCCCATCTGCAACCACCGAAGCGCTGTCTTTCAGGTTCATGGCTTCAGCCACGTCGGCATCACCAATGATCTGGCGGCCACGTCGGCACCGAGCGGAGTTGGAGCAAGGCACCTTACCACTAGTAGCAAATAGCTACTAGTAGCAAGGCACCTTACTACTAGAAAAGGATACAAAGAAGAACAATGATAGATGATCCTTTCGATGGGTATCCAGACAGGCCGGAGATCGATGGGCAACAAGTGTTTTTTAAACCTTCGAACCAAGCATTCACAAATGAAAGCTTGTTAGACTGCGTTCGTGCGCAGCGACCTTCACAAAACACGCTCGCAGCATTCCCTGAAAGTTGGAACGCAAAGCTGTGACACCCTACTTGGAGTGCAATCCACCCACCAGACATGGTGAAAGCTATACTTCTTAGCCTTAGCCCAACAAGATGACAAGCACCCACACCCGACCTGCTTCAGCTCCTTCAGATCGATACTGCCGTTGTTGTCGAGATCAAACTTCTTGAAGGCCGTCCAAACGATATCCTCCTGGCGCAGTGTCTCTATTGAATGGTTTTGTGTCATGTGTGTGTGTGTGTGTCACCTTTGGCAGCAAGAGCAACTGACCTGACTGTTCATTTCACCTGTATTTATCCCTCGTCCTACCTCATCCTACTTCACCACTTACAGGTTTCTTCCAACTTCATAAGCCCTTCATTTCGGCCGAACCCTTCTGACTCGACCCATTCCTTTTGCCTTCCGCAGCAGTTCCGCGCGCAGTTCCGAAGCGCAAATTCTCAAGCACGCACACCAAGCGCAAAACTGTCAACTTCTGCCATCACCCGAAGCGCAAAACAGTCGGACACACCTGAACATAAACCTTCTTGTCCAACGTCGCGGCCAAGAATTCGGTGTAGTCGATCACTCCCGACCCGTCGGTGTCTGCCTGGACAGCGCGCGGTGGAGACACCGCAGAAACACCGTGGTGGGACCGGGACTTCTGCGTCTTTGTTCTTGGGACCTTTGGATTCCTTGCTACTAGTAGCGTCTTGTTACTAGTAGTAAGGTGCCTTGCTACTAGTAGCTTCTTTTGTGCCTTTGCTTCTTATTCCTTTCCTTCTTCTTTTCTTTCCTAGCACACCCCAAAGTTCTGATTAGCCACGCTCTTTGTGCAAAATGTATGATGAGTAGGCTGTAGCACTGGCCAGTAGCTGCAAAAGGTGCAAACCCACAGCTTCAGCTATGTGTCTTTGCGAATCGAGATGCAGGTCATGCTTTCTTGATGGCTGTAGGTTGCAAACCTACAGATTAATGCGTCAGCGCGTCAATGTGCAAGTGATGATTTCTTGATGGGCTGTAGGTTGTCAACCTGCAGCTTCAGTGCTTTCTTGATGGGCTGTGCCAAGCTTTAGCACGTGGGTTAGCACGGTGTGGTGCGCGTCATGCTTTCTTGATAGGCTGTTGGTTGCCAACCTACGGCTGCACAACGTGCGTTGGCCCACCATGATGCAAATGATGCATGCACAATGAACTGCAGGCTCCCAGCCTGCAACTGTCAAGTTAAGTAAACTGGGACGATGTAGGAAGTCAATCTAATTACGACTTCATTATGCCATGCTAGCGGGTTAGGATGCAAGTCATGCAGTCTTGATGGACAGTGGCTTGCCAACCTACAGTTTCACCAGCGTATATTATGTCACAGTGCAAGCACAGGCTTTCTTGATGGGCTGTAGATTCCCAACCAGCACGTGGGTTAGCACGTTATGATGCGCGTCATGCTTTCTTGACGGCTGCAGAACGTGCGTTTGCCCGCCATGATGCAAATGATGATCCAAGTCATGCTGCCTTGATGGACAATGGCTTGCCAACCTACAGCTTCATGTCACAGTGCAAGTCTATGCTTTGGCTATGGCCACCCTGCAGCTTCAGCACGTGGTTTTGCACGTCATGATGCGTGTCGTGCTGTCTTGATAGGCCGTAGCTTGCCAACCTACGGTGTGTTGGCCCGCCATGATGCAAATGATGCATGTAGAACTGCCAGCCTACAACTGCAAGAATCAAGTAAATATTGGCGGTACGGCTTCATTATGCCGTGTTAGCGCGTTTAGGATGCAAGTCATGCTGTCTTGATGGACA